GGACTGGATGGGCCATTGGCCTGATTCAACATGGGCTTCTCTGTTATGTTCTTATGGGGCAAGGGATGCTCTGTCTTCTTGGTGCCTGGGGGGGGCAACAGTGGGAGGGCTTCTGGTGTTCTGGCCCCACTGCTGGACCTCCTGAGGGCACCTGGTGTTTTGGCCACTGTGTGACACAGAGTGTTGGACTGGACGGGCCTTTGGCCTGATCCAACATTGGCTTCTCTCTTATGTTCTTAAAGGTGCCTGAGAGAGGCCGTCTTCCTTGCACCGGTGCTGTTGATCCCGATCCCATCTCCACTCAGCGGGTTCCTTCTTGCAGTGAAATTGCAGCGTTTGCAGATCAAAACCTCATTTGGCGCTCACTGGCCGTCTGACATCGCTTTGTTCAGTCGAATTGCCTGGGCCGTGTCCCCCCCCCCATTTCCAAAAGAGAAATCTAAGCCGCTCCATGCGTTTCCCAGGTTGCACAGCGGGCTGTAAAGGCAGCCGTTCTCTGTTACGGACACCCGTGCCGGATGCCGGAGGACGATGTGCCGCCGTCGGCAGCCCGCCAAGGTCAGTGTGTGTTTGTGACGGCGCAGTTCTGGCCCAGGCCTCGCTGAACCCTTGGGCCGTTGGCGTGGCGAGTGAGGGTTGTGCTGTCGGGTCACTTCTGCTGTGATTTTTACCTGTGCAGGTCCGGCCGGGGAACCGGGAGGTCTTCTGCTGCGCCCTCCTGCCTCTGGCTGGTCCAAGCTGACGTCTGCAGAGCTGTCCCGGTCTCTGCTGTGTCGGTGGAAAGTTCCCATCGCTTCGATTGCAGGCCGCCCAGCCCAGCCCAGCCCAACAGTCGGAAGCAGCCATTGAGGAAGCCTCGCTCAGAGCCATCGGCCTAGTCGGTTTCTGCCAGCCGTGGACCTGGAATGGGTTCAGTATAACTTGTGTAGAGGGGGGATGGCGTGTATCTTGTATCTTGACAAGATGACCACGGGAGATGTGTGGAGCAGGTTTTTACCAGCGTTTTTGCCCTTCATGCCCCCTCTCTGGTGCATATGTTGCTGTCCTGGAGCCGAGCCAAAGCCAGCGTGTCCTCCCCTTTGGCGCACCGGGGGGTGGGGTGCACTGCCCCTGTGCATGGAGGCTCAGCCTCTTAAATTCCTGCCCACCCAAAGCCACCCAGAGCGTTGTTTCCCCACCCTCCCTCGCCAGCTGAGCGCCTTCTGTTTTGGCTGCAGATTGGGGTCCGGGCGTGTGGACGCGTCGAGCGAAGAGACCCGATGCAGAAAGGCCGTCCCTGAAATGTGTCTGGAGACCTTTCGAGAGGTCTGGCCTTGCCAGAGCCCTGCAAGGGACAATCAGTTCGGGCTCTCTTCTGGTGGCCAAGAAGCCTCTGGGTGTTCTCTCATCCTGGAAGAATTCCCCCTGCTCTGTGGGTCAGTCTCTCTCTCCCTCTCTCTGGAGGCATTTCACTGCGTTTCCCTCCCTCCCCCTTTGGTCCCCTCTTCGTGTTTGTCCAGTCGATCAACCCAGACAGGGTTAGAGTCTGAGGTCAGTAGCCCCGTTCCATTCCAAACTCCCAGACGGCATCCGTCGGTGAGAGGGGAAGAGGTTCAGGTTACAGGGCCCCCCTCCCCTTCCTCTTCTCCCCCTATCTCCCCCCCACACGCACACACCCACACCCCTACCCCTGGGCCGCTTTATAACCCTTTGCACTGACCGGGGATTGGACGTGCCTGCGGGTACTCCCCAACCCCTGCTGAAGACAAGAGTTGGGAGAGTGTCTGCATTTGTCTTCCCCTCCCTGGGTTGGGTGTGTGTGTTTTTCTAATTTGTGGCTTGTTTGTGCTTTCTTTGCACGGCTGCTTCTGACCTGGACCAACCTCCCCGCCGGGGAGGGGGGCCCCACCCCCCCCCTTTTTGGGGGGGGGGGGGGGAGGAGATGTAAGAACTCTTAAATTTGGCCGGGGAAGGAGCTGCAGAACTGCAGGAGGAGGGAGAGGGAAGGGGCAGACCCGAGCGAGAGCCCCCCTCCCCACCCCACCCCGTCTCCCGAGGAGGAGCGCTTGAAGACGGGAGCCGTCGGGGGAGATGCCGTGTGGCCGGCGGGCCTCCGTGGGGTCCTGGCGGCGCCGAGCTGCACGTGGCGTGGAGGCCGGGATGAGCGGAGCGGAGCTTTGGCGAGGAGGGGAAGCGGAGGAGAGGCTTTAGACGCGCTTTAGACGGCGAGGGCGCCCTCCTGCCTCCCCGCTCGCTCTCCTTTGCGCCTGGGGTTGTTTTGTCTGCCGCACCAGGCGAGGTGGGAGACGCGCTCCCCCCGCCCGCCAGCCCGGGCCGGGGTGGGGGAGAAGAGCCGTCGAGCCGCCTGCCGCCGCCGGATGCCTCTCTGGCCCAGGGAGCCCGGAGGAGGCGAGGCGGCGTCCGCCTTGCCGCCCGCCCACCCCGGCGTCTGCCCCAACCAGCTCAACCCCAACCTCTGGGTCGACGCCCAGAGCACCTGCGAGAGGGAGTGCCACGACGACCCGGTGAGTGAGGGACCCCGCTCCTCTCCTCGCGCCCGGCCGGTGGGGGTGGGTGGGGGCGCAATGCTCCCTCTAAGCTGTGGAGTCTGGTGAGCACAAATTCTCCTTTGTGAGCTACTGGCGTTAAAGTTGTGAGCGAGCGATTTGGCTGCTGCATCAATCAGTTTGCTCTGGAGCCCCCTCCTTCCTGAGCTAAGACAAAAAATGTGTGAGCCGGAGGCTAAAAAACTGTGAGTTAGCTCACACACACTCAGCTTAGAGGGAACACTGGTGGGGGGTCCTTGAATGCAAGCATGCCCCTTTTGGGGGGGAGGGGGGCAAAGGAGGCAGAAGGCCACCGGCACCTTGGAGGCAGAGCACGTGGCTTCTGTGCGGAAGGCGCGGGGGGGGGGGGTTGATCCCTGGCCCCATGCCTCCCTCTAAGCGGCGGAGTCCTGTGAGCAAACATCCTACTTTGTGAGCCAAGTGGCGAGCCAGCCATTTGGCCGCTGCGTCCATGAGTTTCCTCTGGACGCATCCTTCCTGAGCTCAGACAAAAAGGTGCGAGCCAGAGGCTAAAGAAACCTGTGAGCTAGCTCACACATATTTGGAGCTGTGGTGGCTCAAGTGGTGAAGACGCTGAACTGCAGACTATGGAAGGTCAGTAGTTCAGCAGTTCGAGACCCGAGTGCGCCGCATGACGGGGTGAGCTCCCGTCTCTAGTTCCAGCTCCTGCCAACCTAGCAGTTCGAAAGCAAGACATTGCAAGGAGATAAATAGGGACCACTTCGGTGGGAAGATAACAGCGTTCCGTGCGCCTTGGTGCTTAGTCATGCCGGCCGCATGACCACGGAAACGTCTTCGGACAGCGCTGGCTCTTCGGTTTGGAAACGGAGATGAGCACCGCAACCCTAGAGTCGGACTCAACTGGCTTTCGAGCAAGGGAGACCTTTACCTTTACCTTTTTAGCTCACACTAAACTCAGCTTAGAGGGAACTCTGTCCCTGGCATCGCACAGCTGCAGATGCCCATTTGCCTGAGATCCCCGAATGCTGCCACCAGATAGGAGGGGTCTCACTTTAAGGTGCAGCCTGTGTGTGGGGGGATGTAGCCTTCCTTGTTGGCTGCTTAATTAGTCCTCCAGCCAGCGGGCCGGCCCCAGTGAAACCACTTCCCTGTAGGCACAAAAACCTGTGCGGGGATTGCCCGTCTGCCTTTGAAGATCGTGGCTTGCTGCCAGGTGGACAGTTTTGTGGCCCTGCTACTCTTGGGCCTCCCTCTCAACCCCCACTCTGCTTTTCTTCTCTGTGTTATTCCCTACGGCTGGCTGCCTGGGAGTTCAGACCGTTTTAAAAAGGTAAAGGTTTCCTTGCTCGAAAGCCAGTCGAGTCTGACTCTAGGGTTGCGGTGCTCGTCTCCGTTTCCAAGCCGAAGAGCCAGCGCTGTCCGAAGACGTTTCCGTGGTCATGTGGCCGGCGTGACTCAACACCGAGGCGCACGGAACGCTGTTCCCTTCCCACTGAAGCGGTACCTATTTATCTTCCCAGGGGAAGGCGAATTAGTAAGCGTTCCTGTTGTTCACCTTGGACCAGAAAAGGCAGGGCCAGTCCTGAGGTAGAACCACCTTTCCAAGGGGAGGATAAAGGAACAGAGTAGAGCGTAAAATGCGTCAGAGAGCGAGGCGAAGGCTGCTGCACGGTCCTGTACTTGCTGCTCTGTGTCAGCGTGCCGAGTGAGGAGAATTGCTGCACAGTTGACCGGGGTTTGCACACGATTGTGCGTACATGGCCGAGAGCTGATAGTCTGAGAGCAGTGTTTGGCGTACAGTCCTGACAGTCAGAGGGCAAAGCGGAACTTCCTTCGCACAAATCCTTGGGGAGACACGAGGTCCATCGGTGTGCGACGTTCCTGGTGTCCCCTTCTGACCCCAGCCAAGTGGATAAGTGTCCCCTTCTGACCCCAGCCAAGTGGATAAGCCCGTGTCTCGGGCAGTGTTCGCTCTACGCTGAGTGAGTGTGCCGGCTCACAGTTTTTTAAGCCTCCGGCGCACACATTTTTGCCTTCGCTCAGGAAGGACGGCCCCAGAGCAAACTGATTTATGCAGCAGCCAAATCGCTCGCTCACAACTTTAATGCCAGTAGCTCACAAAGTGGAACTTTTGCTCACAAGACTCCACAGCTTAGAGGGAACATTGGTCTCGGGATCCGGGTGGGCTGCACTGAGAAGGGAATGCGTGCCAGAGGTCCTCCAATCCATGCGGGTCCGCTCCCGGGCAGGAACAGTGCCTTGAGTGATGACTGTTGTGTCTGGCTTTGAAGCCGCCTCTTTTTTAACCCCCTCGTCACACACACGCCTCTTCCTGCGACAGATGTAAATCAGTTTGACTGCCGTACAGCTGCTGCCGTGCATCTGGCGGAGTGACGGCTGACCCTGGAAAAGGTTACAGTGGGGGGGGGCACACACACACCTCCTGGGATGTTCTCCTGCTGCAAACTTCACAGGGCTCCCTGTCTGGGATTCTCGAGGCATAGAAGGCGCGATGCCCTGACTTGGATAGCCCAGGACTGCCCGATCTCCTCTGATCTCAGAAGCTAAGCCAGGTCAGCCCTGGGTAGTCCTTGGGCGGGAGGCCGCCAAGGAAGTCTAGGGTGGCTGTGCAGAGGCAGGCGAGGCCAAACCGCCTCTGAGCATCTCTTGCCGTAAAAATCTCATGAGGCGTCAGCCTCAGTTGCCTGTGACTGTTGGCTGCCATCTAGAGGAGGCCGTGGTACAATGTTCCCTCTAAGCTGTGGAGTCTTGTGAGCCAACATTCTACTTTGTGAGCTACTGGTATTAAAAGCTGTGAGCGAATGATTTGGCTCCTGCATAAAATTAGTTTGCTCTGGTGCCATCCCTTCCTGAGCGAAGGCAAAAATATGCGAGCCGGAGGCTAAAAAATCGTGAGCTAGCTCACACTAACTCAGCTTAGAGGGAACAATGGCCGTGGAGTTGTTTTCTGTTGCCCCAGAAGGTTAGATCAGAACCAGTGGGTTGAAATTAAATCAGAAGAGTTTTCAGCTGAACATTAGGAAGGACTTCCGGACAGTTTGAGCGGTTTCTCAGTGGAACAGGCTTCCTCAGGGGGAGGAGGTGGCGGGCTCTCCTTCTTTGGAGGTTTTCAAGCAGAGTCTGACAGCAATGCGGATTCTGTGAACTTGGGCGCAGATCACGAGAGGGAAGGCAGGAGGGGTTGCCTCAGTGCTTAGTTCTTGTGGCCCTTTTTACATGCCCAGGGGAAAACTGATTGCCACTTTGGGGTCAGGAAGCAATCCAGGAGAGCCTGTTTGGTGTCGTGATTAAGTGCAGGCGGACTCTAATCTGGGAGAACCGGGTTTGATTCCCCACTCCGCCACTTGCACCTGCTGGATGCCCTTGGGCAAGCCACAGTTCTGATAAGAGCTGTTCTTGAAAAAAGAGCTGTTTCTGTCAAGAGCTCTCTCAGCCCCACCTACCTCCCAGGGTGTCTGTTGTGGGGAGGGGAAGGGAAAGGAGTTTGTAAGCCGCTCTGAGACACCTTTGGGTAGTGAAGGGCGGGGTATAAATCCAATCTCTTCTTCTGGAGGGTTTTTTTGCCATATTCTGCGCGTGGAACGGTGGTCACTGTGTGTGTGGAGGGGGAGGTATTTGTGAATTTCCTGCTTTGTGCAGGAACAGTGCCGTGACAGTCAGAGGGCAAAGTTCCGCTTTGCCCTCTGACTGTCAGGACTGTACGCCAAACACTGCTCTCAGACCATCAGCTCTCGGTCATGTACGCACAATCGTGTGCAAACCCCGGTCAACTGTGCAGCTTTGTGCAGGACTAGATGACCCTGGAGGTCCCTTCCAACTCTTGATTCTATAATTCTATGACTTGCCGGGAAAAAAAGGGGGGGGAGAAGTGATAACACACCTTTACTGCACGAAAACAGCCCTAGTGCTGTGGGGTTAGCGTTAGGGACTCAGAGTCTTTGTGTAGTGAAACGGCTGTGTGAAAGTGCTGGTTGAATTTGAGAGGGCAGTTATAGGATCGGCACGCTTCTAGAGCAGGGGTGTCAGGCATAAGGCCCCGGGGCCGTAACCGGCCCACCCGGGGCTTCTTGCCCGGCCCGCAAGCAACTGGTATGTATGGAAACGTACGGTGCTCCCCCATTTATGGTATCCCTTGGGGAAAACCTAGTCCTGCATATGATTAAATACATCTATTTGGGCTTTCGTGGGTCCCCAGTAAATCAGTTGCTGTCACTGCAAGGAATCAACTGCTTTTGTCTGTATTTTGAGTAAAAAAAAAATCGTTAACTGGGTTTGCCCGTGTCTTTTATAAATTTTATATCTCCCGTACCTGGCCTTACATTTTATGGCACACGCGGCTAGTGACATTCCTGTCAGACCTGGCCCTCATAACAAATGAGCTTGACACCTCTGTTCTAGAGAGAGGTTCTGTTGTCACCGAAGGTCCGGTTCACAGTGCAATAGCCTTGCGATGAAGCGAAGGCCACAGCTTGTGGGAGGCCTGGTCTGGAGGGGAGGACCTCAGATCGCGGGGCTGGAGTTTCAGTGTCTGTTCTCGCTTCCCCCACAGGACTGCGAAGGCTTTGAGAAATGCTGCACCAACGTCTGCGGCCTGAAGAGCTGCGTGGCCGCCCGCTATGCCGACGGAAGCCTGTCGCCGCCGGAGCTGGCGCGGGAGGCCACGTGCGAGAGCTTTGTGTGCACCCAGCAGGGCTCGGACTGCGACGTCTGGGACGGGCAGCCCGTCTGCAAGTGCAAAGACCGGTGCGAGAAGGAGCCCAACTTCACCTGCGCCTCTGACGGACTCACCTACTACAACAAGTGCTACATGGATGCCGAGGCCTGCATCCGGGGCGTCGGCCTGGCCGTGGTCCCTTGCAAGTACATTTTCGCCTGGCCCGACGCCAGCCCGGCGCCGACGGAGACGACGGCTCGCCCGACCCCTGGAGCGGCCGCGGAGGCACCCATCCCTCCGGCACTCTACAACAGCCCTTTTCACCGGTCAGTGTACGTGGGCGGGACCGTCAGCTTCCACTGCGATGTGAGCGGGCGGCCGCGCCCTGAGATCACGTGGGAGAAGCAGAGCGACCGGCAGGAGAACTTCATCATGCGCCCCGACCGGATGTACGGCAACGTGGTCGTGACCAACATTGGGCAGCTGGTGGTCTACAACGCGCAGCCGGAGGATGCCGGAGTCTACACCTGCACAGCCAGGAACGCCGCCGGCCTCCTCCGAGCAGACTTCCCCCTTTCGGTTGTCGAGAGGGAGCGCTCCGGGTGGGAGGCGAGGGCGCCCGGTGTCCCGCGGCTCCCTCCCGGAGAGTGCCTGAAGGAACCGGATAAACGGGACTGCGAGGCCCACCGCGTCCGCTGGCATTTTGACTCAAAGAAGGGGTCCTGTGTCACATTCCGCTACGGAGGGTGCGGCGGTAACCGGAACCGCTTCGACACCTACGAGGAGTGCCGCCTGGCCTGCGCCGATGGCGTCGTCGACCCGTGCTCCCTTCCCGTGGTGCAGGGCCCCTGCAAGGACTGGGAGCCCCGCTGGGCCTACGACCGCCTGATGAAACGGTGCCATTCCTTCATCTACGGGGGCTGCGACGGCAACGAGAACAACTTTGACAGCAGGGAGAGTTGCGAGGACGTGTGCCCCTTCCTCAAGGCCTCGCGGTGCAAGGCGTGCCGCCTGAAGAGCAAGATGGTGTCGAGCCTGTGTCGCAGCGACTTTGCCATCGTGGGCCGGCTGATGGAGGTCGTGGAAGACCAGGACTCCGGCATTGCCCGCTTTGCGCTGGACGACATCTTGAAGGACGAGAAGATGGGCCTCAAGTTGTTCGACATCAAGTACTTGGAGGTGACCTTGTCAGATATGGACTGGAGCTGCCCCTGTCCCAATATGACGGCCGAGGACGGGCCCCTCATCATCATGGGGGAGGTGCACGATGGTATGGCGGTTCTCGACGCTGACAGCTACGTCCGGGCCGCCAACGACAAGCGGGTCAAGAAGATCCAAGAACTTCTGGAGAAAAAGACCTGCGAGCTTCTTGACCGGTTCCGGGACTAGTGTTGGTGGCTTTCCACTGTGGACAAGGGAGGGCACGACACAACCCCCCCCTTGCGTTTATGCCAAATCGGGTGGGGCCGCTTCTCTTAGAAACCTCACGTGTCTCTGAAGGGATGGACAAGAATGAATGGTGACGCCCTCCCCGCGGCGGGCCGGCTCTGTGGCCCGACCTCTCGTTTTTGAACATGTTGCATTTATCTCCGCTTGTCTGTTATAACGAGCGCCACTATGCTTGTAACTACCTATTTGTCTGTTTTTGCGTGAGCCGTAATTTATCTCTTTGTGCCTTTGTACCACCCTGACCTGGCTCGTGTAAAAATTAAAAAGGACTTTTGTGTTCCCTCCCCCCCCAGGCATGACTTCTTATCTTCCGTCTGTGTCCTTTCTTGGATTTGTTGTTTGGGCCCGGGGCGGGGTCCACATTTGGGTTTTGCATTTTTTTTTTTTTTAATAAAGATTTTATTATTCTTTTGCTTTACAGTAAACAAAAAGTATCAAGCTGTTTTGTATAACACAGGGGTCCCCAACACGGACCTGGCGCCCGCTGACACCTTTCCCGGCAGCCACCAAGTGGGGCTCTTGTCCTGCAGAACTTCTGATTGGCCGTTGGGGTCCGCTCAACGTCAGCTGCTATCCAGGCAGTGGCTACGGTGTGGGCTTGGGGGGCTCCGTCCCCTTTCATAAAGGCACAGCCCCACAAGAATTTCTTCTGTAAATGCTTCTTTTCAATCCTTTTAAAACATTTTTTTTAAAGGCGTGTGCTCCTTTAAGCAGAGTGGGGTGCCGTAGTTGACTGATTCCCGCACTGACCAAAGGGGTTGGAGTAGGTGACCTCTAGGGTCCCTTCTACCTCCTTGTCAAGCAGCCGGTCTCCATAAAGAGAGCTTTTCTGCCTAAGTTTTCTCGACTCTAGAAGTCATCACCCCCACCTGCCGGCCTGTTATCAGAATTGTTGCTTAGGCTGGCAGAAGTGATTAACTTGCAGCAGCTGAGAACTGTCATCTAAAGTGGTTGACAGCTTGCAGTTTAGAGATCTATCCTGGTTAACAGCTTTCTATTGGCCAGATGGCTTTTCTTTCTGCACTGAGAACTTCAGGCCCCAGTTTAGAGATCTATCCTGGTAACAGCTTTCTATTGGCCAGATGGCTCTTCTTTCTGCACGGAGAACTTCAGGCCCACCAGAAAAAAATTTGCCCCATGGGCATGCTGCTATCATCGCATCGTGTTGGTTACTCTTCTTTCCCAGTGTATTTTTAAAATCACTCCTCTTCACTTATGCACGTGGGCTTCCTCTGTGTAGTGTGCTTTGCTTCCTGTGACAGCCATTTTACGGTTGCACCTACCACTGTGTGTCAGGATTCCAAAGGGTGCCCACAGGATCAGGAAGGTTGGTGATCCTTGGTGTAATCTGTGCCTACGGTAGTTCTCCCAACACAGAAGTCAGTGAGATAAAGACACCATATGTAACAATGCATAAACTCCTGATTCAGTGAGAAAAGTGAAATATCTATACACAAAATAGTGAAGTTGGCCAAATCTGAGGATACTTAAATCTGGTTATTGGAACCATGAATGGGCAAGACAGATCTTTCTACACACCTGAAAAGAGCCCCAGGTTTGCAGAAATACCTGAAATTTAAAAAAAAAACACTCAAAAAAACAAAAGAAACTCCCACACATCAATGGTTCTTTTAAAAAACAACAACACAAAAATGGAGCATGTTGTAGCTTTAAGAAACAGAAGCCCTCAGTGGCTGTTGCTAGGCAACCACAGCTTTTCAGGCTGGGTTTCTGTGAGTAAGAAGGCAGGTTGAGAGGTCACAGCCCTTTCCAGGGCAGTTTTGGCCTCTTGAGGGCCAATTCAAGGTTGCCAGCTCCAGATTGGGAAATTGCTGGACATTTTGCTTGGCGTCCAAAGCAGCCATTTTCTCCAGGAGGTCACAGATCTCAGTTTGTCGTTCTGGGAGAACAACGGGTCCCACCTGGGCCTAGCAGCAGCCTCTGAGTGACATGATACCACCCCGTCTGCACAACTCAACTAGGCCTGGCTGCTTGCTACTCTTCAACAGCCCGTGTGATGTGGTGGTTAGAGCTGCAGAGTTGGGTCTGGGAAGCCCAAGTCTGATTCCCCATCTTGCTGTGGAAGCTCACTGGGGTGGTCTTGGACCAGTCACATCCTTTCAGCCTAACCTACCTCTAGAACGACAAACATGCGGTTTAGTCAGGTTCTAAATTTTGAAGCAGGACTGTTTAAAACAATGGGAAGTCCCAGTTCTTTGGGTTACCATAAAAGTGAAGAGGTTGTGTGAAGCCCCCGAAGGGCTGACTGAGGTGGCCCTCTGGACTTGAAACAGCCACTTGTTAAAATTATAGGACAGGACTGGGGGTGGGGGGGTTGATAGTCTCAGGCAGGGGTCATTTCGTAGAAAAAGAGGTGCAGGAGCTCATTAGCATAACTCATTAGCATAACTCATTTGCATATGCCACACCCCCTGACATCACCGGAAGTGTGTCAGAAGGCAACGCCCACCGCTCAGGCTCCACTGGACTGTTTTGAATTGCTAGCTATTCGGGGGGGGGGAGGAACGTGCAGATCTGCCCTCACAGAGGAGGGAGAGCTTGTACCTGAATAAAACTTGGCCTTAAAGGTGCCACTGGACTGTTTTGGATTGCTAGCTGGGGAGAGGACGCACAGATCTGCCCTCGCACAGATCTGTGCAGAGAGAGAAGGAAAGAAGGAGGGAAAGAAAGAGGGAGAGACAGAAATAAGGAGAGAAAGAGGGAAAGAAGGAGAGAGGGAAAGAAAGAAGGAAAAAGGAGGAAAAGAAAGAGAAGGAAAGAAGGAGGAAAAGAGGGAGAGAAGCAAAGAAGGGGCGGGGCTTGTTGCATGTGCCCGCCCCCTGGGCTCTTTACTGCCGGAGCTCCGCTCCTGTGCGCTCCTGCAGGAAATGACCCCTGGTCTCAGGCCAGTTTTCAGAGATTCTTGGAATAAAACCTGTGGCTTGTATCTTATCCGTCCACTCACCAAAGTTGGAAGCCTTCCTGCAGCCAGAACCATCCTTCTGTTGGAGGAAAAGCCGCTTGCTTCCAACTCTGCTGGGCAGAGGAAGGACAAGGTCTGCACAGAGGGCGCGTCTTAGCTGGAGGTAGAGTTCCCTCTAAGCTGAGTTAATGTGAGCTGGCTCGCAGTTCTTTAGCCTCAGGCTCACACATTTTTGTCTGAGCTCAGGAAGGATGGGGCTCCAGGGCAAACTGATTTATGCAGCAGCCCAATCGCTCGCTCACAACTTTAATGCCGGTAGCTCACAAAGTAGGATTTTTGCTCACGAGACTCCGCAGCGTAGAGGGAGGCATTGGCTCTGAGTTGTGGCCAAAAGGCCAGTCAGCCCCAGCTGGATGTGCGGCATCTCACCAAGGCAGAGTTAATTCGGGGGGCCTGTTAAAGTGCCCCAGTTCTGTGGATCTGCATCAATGTCCCCTCTAAGCTGTAAGCAAAAATTCTTCTTTGTGAGCTACACCGGCATTAAAGTTGTGAGCGAGCGATTTGGCTGCTGCATAACCTAGTTTGCTCTGGAGCCCCATCCTTCCTGAGCTGAGACAAAAATGTGTGAGCTGGAGGCTAAAAAAATGTGAGCTAGCTCACACTCACTCAGCTTAGAGGGAACACTGATCTGCATATGTAACCATTTCTCCTGTACTTGATTCCACCCCTTCTTGTCCCCCCCCCAGACATTATTGCAATCTGTTTGTGTCCTTTTGATTGGTGTTAATATTGAGTACTACCTTTCTTCTAAACAGGCCCGTAGCCATCGTGTGGGGGGGGGCATTTGGGGGCAATGCCCCGCGCCGCGAGGATGCCAGGCCGACCCATCCCTGGTGCACTGTGGTCCTTCCCCCTGCCTGCTGTGTCCTCACTGGCTCCGGCTGTTCTGCTGGGGCCGAGCGGGAGGGGAGGGAGAGGGGAGCCCTGCCGACAAAGAGCTCACCAGGTTGACGGTTCGGGCTGGTGGGCGGGGAGGGAGGGGCCAAGCGGCGCAGGAGCCTCGGTGGCTCCATTCATTATCCCCTTCATGCATTTTAAGATCGGCTGCAAGAACCACCGAACTTTCTCGGGCGCTGAAGGCTCCACACTGCGCAGCCGACAGGTGGGAGCTACAGCCAGGTGAGGACTGGGCGACCCAGGGAGCGGGAACGGGGGAGCTCTGGCACCAGTCATCGGGACCTCCTCCCTGTCAAGCAGCTATGAAAAGATATGTTTCGTGGCTGTGCTGGTGTCGGGCTGCGTGGGCAATTCCGCCACACTGGGGTCAGTCGCGTTCAGCAGTGACCTGATCGCGCTGTGCGTGGGCCTGGCCACCGGATGCATCTCCCAGCGCCGCAGCCCTCCTTCACGTCACGTTTCAGCAGGGGGCAGGAGGTGCAGACCCCTGACAAGTGACGTCACCACGTCAGGGGTACACACACCCCTGCCCCCCCCCCACTTTGGATATGGGGCTGCCTTCAAAATTCCCCTTCCTCTGTTGGGAAAGTAAAACACTAGTTCAGTGGGACCTTGAACAGAACTTCTTCCATCTTAAGCTTTCCTTCATCAGATGCATTGGAGCATACCTCCATGAATGCATTTACCTTGAGATATTACGACGAGACGTCGGTGTCATCTGTTAACAGTCAGGCAAAGTAAGATTAATGCTCTTTTTTGTTAATATTTATATCCCACCTTTCTGCCCAAAGGACACCCAAAGTGGCTAGCAGGTATAAGACATCCTGTTATAACAGAAACATCAAATAACCAGCCATTAATAGACCAAACAGTACCAGCTTTCACAGAGCTGCGGTGGCTCAAGTGGTGAAGATGCTGAACTGCAGGCTGTGGAAGGTCGGTAGTTCAGGTCGAGACCCGAGTGTGCCGCATGACGGAGTGAGCTCCCGTCTCTAGTTCCAGCTCCTGCCAACCTAGCAGTTCGAAAGCAAGAAAATGCAAGGAGATAAATAGGGACCACTTCGGTGGGAAGCGAACAGTGTTTAGTCATGCCGGCCACATGACCACGGAAACGTCTTCGGACAGCGCTGGCTCTGC